ACTACTACTACTACTACTACTACTACTACTACTACTACTACTACCACCACCATTACTACTACTACCATTACGTCATCTCACCACTTGACCTCAGAGCATGGAGTCCAACGCGACGTTAATTCCCCTGGGCAGCCAACTCGGCCGCAGCCTCGCGGTCGAGTCTTGAGAGTACGGGAGTGCATGAACTAAGTCTGATGCATGCAACAACATCAACAACGCTTTCTCTCATAGTGTCGTCTGCACGGCGAATCTACCAGTCTATGCCAGTGACCGGCCGTGAATGTTGTTCGTACAATCAGACCCAAAAAGGGCAACTTCATTTCACTTTTTTTAGTAGACCATTTTTTTAAACATCCGTCAAGGTTTTACAAGTTTCATTACTTACTGTACTGATGTTGACTCTGTTGCTACGGCATTGCAGGTGCTATTTCTTCAGGTCAGCGCACACTCGTCACTAACCGAACGCGCTTTTCAGTTATAATGGCATGCTATAGGTTGTGACTTTAATGGTTGCCAGCTGAAGGGATTATTCATTGCGCTCTCACTAATGTAGTCTTCGAGACTCCTTCACCGAAGCCTTGCTCGTGAGAGTTAAGAATCTATTATTTACAGTCTGGGTCCTAATGCGTGGCAGATGCCGAAATTTGCGAGCGATTGATAATCAGTCGTAACCCGTTACTAACGCATGTACGACAACTTTGAAATAATGATGAATGAATTCGAGCCAATTTATACGTTAAAAGAAATATAAACGGTATAATTGTTCGTCTATTAATACCAACTTTTAAGTAAGCCTCAATTCTACCGTAAACTGAAGACATGGATTTTTCCCTAGAATCAGTTCCACTCATCAGATTAAAATAATGACTCCACCGCACGTTAAACCACCCACTCCAATTTCGGCGATGACGTTGCATCTACTGTGTGTAATGCGTATAGCTGCGGCTTTAACTCCACCAGCCATTGCGTCTCCGCATTTGTCCTGCTGTTGGGGTATGATGGTGGTGTGAAGGTGAATGAGCTGGTCGCTGTTGATGTCTACTCACCGTAAACTTATTTGTACGGAGTTCTCTCTGTGTGACCAATGAACGAACGCTTACGACTACGTTTTGCTGTATAGTTCGTTATCAGAAAAAAACGTTTTTCACCCTTCCCACTCCTAGGTGTACATACTCCTGAAATGGAGCAAAATGAACCAGCTCCTAGCGTCACACTGTACTTTACTGTAGACAATTAGGCTTATTTTGTGTGCAAGAATGACCACTCTAGTGGCTTTGCTCTCCCCACCCTCTCCTGGTGTACATATTGCGCCTACTTCCTTTCCTGCATCTATTTTTGTAATCTAACTCCTCTAGCTTTTCGGTGGAACTCGCAAGGACTTTACGGCCAAGGGTCGAGGCAATTTCCGTGCTGACATCAACATCCTGCTCTGCGGTGACCCCGGCACCTCCAAGTCGCAGCTGCTGCAGTACGTCTTCCACGTATCGCCCCGTGGTCAGTTCACCTCGGGCAAGGGCAGTTCTGCTGTCGGTCTGACCGCCTACGTCACCAAGGACCCGGAAACCGGCCAAATCGCCCTGCAGACTGGTGCTCTGGGTAAGCTGACGAGCTTTTTTTCTTTCTTGCTCTGACCAGTCTAAGGAAGGGCCTCGTTAGCGCACTGTCTTATTGGTCCCCCAGTTACGTGTTAGGAAGAGAAGGCAGAACAGGATAGCAGATAGT